TCAAGTAGCCATAAACATGAGGAGCATCATGAATGCAACCACGACCATGACCATCATCACCATTCGCATAACCATAAACACGAGGAGCATCATGAAGGTAATGTCAGTCACGGGCACGACCATGACCATCATCATTCTGATCACAAATCTGTAAAAAGCGAAAACAAGGAGCATCGCCACATTGATCATAACATGGAAGGAATCTTCCTTCATGTTCTGGCAGACACAATGGGGAGCGTTGGAGTTGTGATATCGACACTCTTGATCAAATACAAGGGCTGGTTAGTTGCAGATCCAGCCAGCTCAATCTTCATTTCCATCCTCATCATCGCTTCAGTCATTCCATTACTCAGAAACTCTGCAGAGATTCTACTGCAGCGAGTTCCTAAGGCTCACGAGCACGACCTGAGAGAAGCAATGAGGAACATCCTTAAGAAGAAGGGTGTTTGTAGTATCCAGAGGCTACATGTATGGAGCTTCACGAACTCAGACGTCGTAGCTACTCTCCATCTCCTTGTATCAGCGGATTCAGACAAAACGGATACTAAGTTGCAAGTCTCTCGTTTGTTAGAAGATGCAGGAGTAAAGGATTTGACTTTGCAGGTGGAATCTGTTAAGTCATAGCAATTAAAATAGTCTTGTGAGTTGTCACTGAACACACAAACATATGATACTTTTTTCAATGCTTTTAGATAATCTGTTGATTCAAGTTTTCCGAGTTTTCATTAAAGATATATATGGGAATATGGCTGTGCATACATATATGAACGACATCCTAAACCGGAAACGTAAGGTTTTAATTTCAAAACTCAAAAAAAATCACTACAAATGCATCTGTTTTGCAGTTATATTCATATTCAAAAAATAAAATCATAGCAGGGATTCCGACGCATAAACAGCTTCACTCTCTCGGATCAGGTAATTGCTTGTTATCCTTTTTGTTCTGGCAGTTTGTTGTTATTGAAATCTCGAGTTGTCGGAATGAAAATAACTGTTAGGAGTGGTGTAGAGAGATGATGGTAGAGTAGATTTCTGAAGTAGACTGCTCTCACCAAATTGAACACCACAGCTTGTAGACATATCTTGTGGCAAGCTAGTGTTACTGACCATATAACTGTAAGGGTCCTGAAAATCAGAACATAACTGATATGGATGTTGAGAGTTGCTGGTGGTACTATCACTCATAAACATGTTCTGATCATCATAACCATAAAGCTCATGCTGCATCAACTGATTTAACTCATAGTTATTCACAGATTCTTGTAACTCTGAGTAGTCTTGTGTGTTTGAGATGCAAGGATGTTGAAAGTTGTTACTGTTTATGTTACTCGAACAGATGTTCTGATCATAACCATAAAGCTCCTTCTGCTTCAACTGATTCGTTAACCCAGACGTCGAGTTATCTTGTGTGTTTGAAACACAAAGATGTTGAAAGTTGTTGTTTTGATCAAAACCATTAAGCTCTTGATGCATCAACTGATCCTTCAGCCCCGATTCTTGTACTGCCGAGTAATTGGTGAATTGAGTGGACGCAGATTGGTGAAAATTTGATGCTGCAGAGAGAGGGAATTGAGAGAGAGTAGCATCTCCATGGTTATACATAAATAGGGAGAACTTGCTAGGGTTTCAGGATTGAGTCTGGTGATGTTCTTGAAGATTCAGAGACATTGGAGGAGTTAAACCCTGATGATCCAGTTTTGTCTCCTTTCGTTTCTGCTGATCCAAGTTTGTCTCCTTTCGTTTCTGATGATCCAAGTTTGTCTCTTTCTGTTTCTGCGCCTCGACAAAAAGAACCCTTTCTTGCAATGTAGAGTAAGCAAGTTCCAAAGACTGAATCAGTTGGGAGATTTGGTCGGGAGTGTAATGGTCAGAGATTGGATACTTTAAGACATTCGTATTCTTCTTACAAATTGTGGTCTTGTTCTTCTTCAGGGACCCATAAAGATTGATGCTTTTCTTGCGTCTCTTGGCTTCGTCTAATTGAGTATACCTTAAAGCCATGTCTTTGACTTTTTCTCTGTCTTGAGGCCATGTTTTAAGCTCTCCGTCTGGACCGTAATGAATGACGCAGACTTCGATATCACAGAGAATAGAAAGCTCGTAAGCTTTCTTGAAGAGGGTCTCACGCCTTTTGATCAAACCTGTTGCAGAGTGT